TCTCTCTCTCTCTCTCTCTCTCTCTCTCTGCGAGAACGCTACTCAAATGAGAGTAGAAAAACAAGACATCGAAAGATACGATCTTCACGTTCAACTCTATGTAGTGTCGTGGATCGTTGTTAAGTTGCAGCCTGTGGTTATTGTATCTTTAGTTGCATTTAATTGTAACAGATGGTCTGAAGAAACGCGCGAAAGAGAAGGAGAGTGCGTTGGCGTGGATCGTCATTCTTTTTAAAAAAGAAGAGAGTCGCGAGAAAGTGTCGAGAGAGAGTTGTTAAAAAAAAGAGTTTATTTGTCTAATTCTCTGTTGTTTTATAACTGAAATATCATTTATATTTTATCTCTACATCTATGATCGAAAAAAAAAAAAAGAAACGATCGATCACGATTTAAATCTACTACGCGCTACTTTTTAAAGCTCTCTATCTCTATCTCGTACGCATTTCTGAAATACATTTCTGTGCGAGATAATTGGATCGTAATTTTCCGATCGTACGAGATCGAGCGACGAGAATTTGAGTATTAGCAGAATTAGCTAATTGGGATATTAACTGGCTGACAGAAACGGGGGCACTCGTGGGTGCCATTCGTCAACGAATTACGTTTACCGAATGCACGCTTTCTGCCGGTCAATGGAATTTCCGATGGCACGTGGTGCGTCGCGTTTCTCTCTGTGTCGAGGAAGCAGAGCGCCAGCGATTAGTTTCATCGAACTAATGGCGAGCGGCCAGGAATGTTAATCAGAAGTTGGCGGAACGCGGCTTATTAGCGGTGAGGGAACGATTCAGTGGAGAGGGAACGTGGCACGCGAGTGCCATTTAACCGTGAAACGCTACGAATTTTCCATAGCTGGATCTTCAACCATTCACGCAGAATAACGAGCCAGACTCGTGGTGTATTTTTGTGGCGTTAACGTGTGCAAGACAACGCTGTGTTGTATCGCGAATAATAATTATTCTATATAATTTGCGAAGTAGTTTCACCGTTTCAATTAACTACGGAATAATTTTGCTTGCAATCAAGCATGGGCGAACGTGGAAATAATTTTGAAAAGTGTAGCGACGAACAGATTCTTTCCTCAATGACAGAAAAAACGTTTCAGACGTATATCTCCCGATAAGATTCTGACAACGAGGATCCAGTGAAAACAAACGAAACTTCGACAAGTGAGAAGAACGCTAATGATTGGAATTGAGTTTCCAAAGATAATGATCCAAGAAGTTTTATCTTTAGAAGAAACACCAGGTACAAATCCTTTATTCTTGGAACAATTGAGAGATAATCCCACTGCGATAGATTTATTCCATCTAACATTGACGGATGATTATTGCGACGCGATAGCTGTCGAAACAAATAGATATGCAGCACAGATGCTAAACAGTGAGAAATGCAAAAAGTAGAATGAAACTACTTGGGAATGTGAACTTTATTTTGGTAGCTTTACACATTCCAGAATGTTTCAAAAAGTATCATACTGAAACAAACTATTAA